TCGTTTCCCGTCTTCCCGTCGTGTCTGTTTTGTTTCCTGAGAAATGTCCTTGTTAGTCATTGTTCTAAGAATGCCTCAGCCAGTGTGAGGGTGTGTTTGATGTGTGTGTGTGTTTGCACGCAGTCGGGCGTGTACAGCAGTACGGCTGGTGGAGGTGCTCGAGTTACATAATCTCCATCTCCCTCCCCGCACAGTGACAGGGAGGAAGGGGGGCAGCTGCCGACTCCCATCTCATCATCTTCAGCCTGCTGAGACATCTCTCCTCTTCCTCTTCCTCTTCCCCTTTTCTAAACACAGCGTTTGTTCGCTGTGCTTCAGTGTGTCGTCCACATCCAGCTGGCACTGCACCCAAACTCCAACCTGCTACCGTCCAAACATCAAACCCAAATCCTCCTGGCTGCTTCTCACGTCACACTTTGAACTGTTACATCAAGCCGATCCATCACAGCATAAAGAGAGCTCTCAGCCGTCTAACAGGCAAACGAGTTCAACCTCTAACGCTCACAATGCGATTTGTCCAAACACATTGAATATGTCGGGATCAACTGATTTGTATCATCACCGCTGTTAGACGCCCGTCTGCCCACATGCTGTCCTCCACTGGCATTGTTCCGGCGTGTTAGTGGTATACTGGTGAACTGTCACACATACTGATTACACCACAACCCTCACAGATGCTGTTTTAGCAAAACAACCCCCCCCCCCCACCCCCCCACATATTTTGCCTGTTCTTGCAGGAAAAAAGCAAGAGCCAAGCCGTCAGGGCCATCTGAGCACCGTGCATATGGACCCCACGAGAAGCTGCCGCCGCTATGCTGTCTGATGGTCGCCCGTTTGGCATGTTGAGGCCCAGCAGGGCAGGCTGTCGAGCAAAAATGTGAACATGTCTAAAGCTGGCAGTGATGGAAGGAGGGTGTTGTGTTAGCACACAAGCAAAGGATGCTCTCAGGAGGAATCCAGGAACAGTGAGATCGGGGGACGGATGTTCAGGCTTCAAGTTGTTAATTCCAAATCAAACCTTAACATGGAGAAAGGACTTTCCACTGCAAACAGAAGCACATTAAAACAGGTTCAGCATGTGTATGCAGTATGGGTAGATTAACTATTTAAAGACATTAACTGTGTCTTTCGTTATCCAACATGTCATGATATCTCAGCTGCAGGCGGGTTAATCGCCCTGGTTTTATTTTAAATACAAGTGAAGCTTTGGCACACTCTTTATTTAGATTTATTTTTGGGCTTTTTAATGGAGAGATAGGACAGTGGATAGAGTTGGAAACCAGAGAGAGAGAGAGAGAGAGTGGGGAATGACATGCGGGAAAGGAGCCACAGGCTGGATTTTGAACCCAGGCCGCATACATGGAGGACCGCTGGTGGCGCCCCACTCTGGTGCACTTCTGATCTCTTAATGAACTGATTTCATGACCTTGGAAATATTTTTGGCAATTTCTGCAAGTTGCAGTGGATTTGATTTGAAAGCATTTGGTCCTAACTTTAGATTTCTGCAGAAATACAAATTTAACCTATGAAGAAAAACTCACAAGATCTAAATGAATGCTTTTAAATTCTTTCTATGGCTCTGTGGAAACCTTGTTTGGACAGGAAGTGGTGAAGTTCCACATACGTTTTTTTTGTAGTTGTCATTCTTGTGGTTATAAGCATGTTTATATCTGGAGCCACGTCCTGTCCGATGGTTATCTGTCAGCACCTTAAGATGGGCTTCCCCCTCCTGCTGTGAACCCCCCTGGATGAAAACCTGATGGCTCATAAATTCCCATCAGGTGGGCGCTGGGATTCAAAAACCTGCACGTTTCCTGTGCGGTGATGTCCCTTTAGCCTCTCTGGGTACAAATGATCACATTTCCCACTAATCCTGGACTGTGCAGAGAGAGAGAGAGAGAGAGAGAGAGAGAGAGAGAGAGGAGTGGGCTGGAACAAGCAACGGACGAGGTGAGGGTAGCATTAAAGATTTGTGGTTGTCATGACAGCAACCGGGCGCAAAAAAAAAAAAGACTCGCTCCCTCGCCCACAAACTCCTGCCTAATTGTCATGCACCCACCCACTCCAGCCCCTCCCAGCCTGATCCTCGTCTATCCTTAGCTATCACGTTGCATAGATCAGGGTGAACCTGGATCTGAATCTCATTGTCATCCTGTTTGTCAGATCCAGGAGAAGAGTTATTAAAACAATGACTAATCCCGTACAGTTCACCTTACCTTGACTTCCTGTCCACTTCACAGCTGTAGATCAATGTCTTTTATGATGCGAGCAGGCGGCCGTATCTTGACCGTATGTTTAAGTAAAGTCAGAGCAGTGTAGAGGCTCACATTCTCCTAAATTATTAAAGACAGATCAATACTTCAAATGCTTTGTGCTTACCTTGAAGCCTGCTTAAGAATACAAAGCCCCCTTGAGCGAGTGCTTTGCTGATTTTTTTTGCTTGGCATTTATCGGTTGGGAAGGAGCTTTAACTCGGGCAAAAAGGAATTACAGTGTGACTCGTCTTAAAGTTTGAACATTCGGCAAATTATGTAATTTTTCCTGTTTTGATCGAGCCCACACTTGTAAATAGTTCCGTTGTGTTTACTACCCCTCAGTCTCCCTCTCTGCCCTCACAGTTTTTTTGTTTTTTTGTTCGCGGTCATGTTCCAGTATGTGCTCTGGTTTTCGTCCTGGGTAACTTTTTTTTTGTATACATTCCTTTTTTATTGTTTTCTCGCCGTCACAGTCACAGGACAATATTCCACAGATCTCATGATGTAATGTGCAGCCATCACCCGGACCACCTCGGCAAAACCCCCGGCAGCTGCACGGAGGGGAATATGAACAAGCTTATAATCATCCCCTGCTGGTTTAATAACTCAGGCGCTGAGGATGGAATATATTTTTTTTCCTGTGCTCTTTTTTTTTTTTTTTAGGGGGGGAACTCTGCCTCGTCCTTTTCCACTCATTTGGGCTGGCGCTCCCGTCTTTCTTTTCCGTGTCTCAGAGCTTGACTCCATCATGGGTGTCGTTCGGCATGAGGGGTCTTGTTTGTGGCTTCTTATGTAAGACGTGCAATCTGATCTATAGCCGCTTACACTACCATACAGAACCACTAATAAGATTTTTGTTGAGCAGTAATCACTTTGTGCCTCGGGTTTTTTTTTCCAGTGCGGTCTAATTCGAGACACATGTAGCAGGCTGTGCACACAATAAAGCACATACTAGCAAAACATCTACATGTGAGCCTGCGCACCGCAAAAGTAAGCACTTAATATACTCAAATTGGTGGATAATAACAGGGAGGAAGCTGCGGGGTTGAGCCACGGTTAGCATCAGGGGAAGCTTGGGCATCCTCTGACTTTGGAGAAACACCGCGCCAGTGCCAGGAAAACACACAGCCTACCTGATGGTTTAGCAGGAGGGCGAGGGCGTTCACATGCTCATATTCATGTGAATATAAGAAGACGCACACACACCTGTTACTCCTCTCTGTCTACACACACACACACACAAACAAACAAACAAACAAACAAACAAACAAAACGCCGTGCCCGCTCCGTATGAGCCTCGGTTGCTGTGTTTCTGCTGGCAGGGCGCCTTTGTTTTGCTTCACGGCAGCACAGGGGTGGGGACGCGTTATGTAATCTGTGGCGTGTGCCGGGGATATACACAGAGAGAGAGAGAGAGAGAGAGAGGGTGAAGGGTGTGCCCACAGTAACACACACACACACTCATGATGACATAATCTACTGACCTCTTCTGTGGCCCGCCCTCGCCCCCCCCCCCCCCCTGGTTATTCCCGGCATCACACTGTGATTTTGGGAACCGCAGAAGAACATCCTCTTTCACCCTCCATTAACGTTTGTGCAATCTAGGACAGAATTCTAACCGCTGGTCCTCGAGGACTCTTATTGCACTTTAATGTCATGTTCAGGGCAAAGAAGCCTCAGAGGGGTTTTATTTTTTCCATCTTCTTTCCTTGGTCATGGGAGAAACAGAAACATGCTACACTACAGGGCTCCTACTTTCTGCTAATGTGAGGGCGTTACATGTAGAACACTCAGAGCTTCAGATTTCTCAGATACGGCTGAAGATATGCACGCTGCACATCCTGAGTTGGTGTTTATTGCTTCCAGACGAAACAGATTATTTTTGGTTTATAGTAAACAAAAAAATGTAGCTGCAGCAAGCTTGGCATAACATGTTCCACACAACAGAAAGTGAAGAGAACAGCAGGGAGGGAAACAGAGGGTGAACCAGATCTCCTCAAGGTCACAAGACAAACAAACTCGTCTTTTAGTTTGCACTTTAAAATATTACGGTTAAATAAACACATTTTAAAACAAAGGAGCTAACCCACTTCCCTCTGTGTATAAGAAATCCTCGCCACGCTGAGCCAGACTATATAATTAATATAGATTACAGTAACGCACGGTGAATACTGCATCACCTCCCACGCGTCCATATGGTTTCATAAAGTAACAGGTTCTCTACCTGCGGGATTGTGGGTGATGATTGTGACGTACAAAAGACCTGAGTGGAATTAATTTGTCCTCCCCCCGAGGGGTGTAAACGCTATTTGAATATGCAAATTGATCTGTGGGTTGGTGTTCACTCTGTGATAATGAGAATGAACCCCAGCATATTGACTTGTTTGCAAACTTTAACCTGTACATATATACATTCACACGCTGTTGTGTCTGTTCTGAGTGTACATTGAGGGTGAATGAATGTGTGTGTGTGCTTGTATGCTTGTGTGACTCTTGTGTGTGCACTCAGGCTTGCCCCCTCCGTGATTAAAGTAGTTTCCATAATGGAATAGTGCACTCTCTCTCAGCTATGGAAGAATATCTGCTTTTCATTTGAAAGACCTTCATGCTGCTGCAGCCGTGTGGGAAGCATCCCCAGTATCATTAGTTACATTCTGCACCGGCTTCACTGTGGAGCAAGAGTCCGTGTGCCTCCATGCAACACTTCTCCCTGTGCTGAAAATGCTTTCTCTTCTTGTCTTACAGATAAAATTGAAGAGGCACAAAAAGAGCTTAAAGACCCCAAAGGCCCACAGAAAGGTAAGAAATACTTCATCAAGGTTTGAATGGAAGAAAATACTGTTTTTATTTTCTGGTTTCTTATTCCAACCTGGCAGGTTAAAATAACAAATTAGATGTTTTAAGCTGACTTTCAACTTAAAGCATTAAAATGAATGTGAATTAAATTGTGTTGAATTGAAAATGCAATCAATAGCTGTATTGTTTTTTCTGCATTTTCTAAGTACTGACCTGTAGAGCTGGAAATATTTGGGTGTCTCACGATTCGATTTCTATTCTCTTGGTCACGATTCGATTCTGGATTCATAATTCTAAGTTTATTTTTGAGTTAGTACACACTTCAGGATCCACTCTAGTCATCTGTGAGACTGGCTGAATTTCTTTCATGCTCCGTTTGGTATTTTACATCGTAAAGAGCTAGCCTTAGCACTTTAGCAGGGAGTGACTGATTAGCCCCCCAAATGTTTTTTTTTTTTTTTTTCGATTTTATGAATCTATTTAAAATCTCAGAGATAAGAATTTCGATTTTTACATGAATCAATTTTTTCACCTACTGAGTTGTGATTTAATGGAACTCATGTATTGATTTGTTTTGTTCCTTAGAAAGTGTATGTGAATGAAGTTAAAAATAACTGCTTACCTGTTGTTACAATGGAAGGCCCAGCTGCAGGGTAGCATTCAGATTTCTGCATCAGATGCCAAATGCACATTTGCAATAAATAAGACTAATTTTGATTAACTGCTGAGTAAATACTACTCTTTTATAGATATAGAGGTTTAATTATAGTTATAAAAATATAAATATAGTTGGTATAATCCTAGATTTTCATACATTTGACCATGGATTTTCTCCTGTGTGTTAGCAGTGAAATATCATATTGATTATTTGAAGTGAATTTAATTTTAAAGGGTTTTTTTAAGTTATACTTCAGCTAAATATGTTGGTTCACAGGAAAGCAAACTGTGTACCTTCTTTATTTTCAAAACATGCATCTGTATCTGTAACACTGTCATCCCAGTGAAGCTACACCAATGCCATTGTTAACACTCAAAAGAACATTTTCTTTTGTTTTGTGGGTTCTTATGTAACTACACTGAAAACAGAAAAGCCAGTTGTGTTGAGCCCTTGTGTAACCTGAGCTTACTCATCACTGCAGCATTGTCCATTTCAAACACCCAGCTTACGTGCTTCCATCCACTGTACTTTAGGTTGGGTGTAGACACTGAACAGAACGAGTACACTTAAAAATATCTCAGTCCTCTGCACACAGGTACTGACGTCCTGTCGTGCTGGCCAGTCAAAGGTTAATCCCTTTGAGAACAGCCTTTTATAAGAAGTTAAGTCTTTCACTCTTTATCATTAAACCAGGATCTTTACATAAATATTTAAATTCACACACAATAATTAAAGAATGTGTAACTATTCAGAGAGGGGGAAATAGTATCAAGCATTTCTGCTCGTCATCTATGTTTAAGATCAACGTTTTTTGGGGGGGTTTTTAGAACAGGAAAGTTACATCTGCACACAGAAAGGGTCAATGTTTTTGTTTAGAAGGAATTTTTAAGAACGGAAAATCTTTGGTGAAGTCATGGAACATCTTTGGCACACTTGTTCAGGTAGTGGGTGGAGGACTAATCCTTTTTTCTTTCCACTGCAGATTATGCAACTACCTTTCTTAATGAAGAGGTCATTTAGGATGCGTTGTAAAACAAAACAAAAATCACTGGATTTATGTTTTCTTGTCTGTTGCTCTAAAAGTTCTTTGGTTGCATGTTTTCTTAAGTGAATGGATTAATTTATATAAAGACAAGGCGTTCCCCAATCTAATTATGCTAGAGTCCTTGAAGGAACCCTGACCTCATCTTGGGAAATACCTACATAAGCCAGGAAACTGTGACAGGGCACTGGTAACATTATGCAACATGTCTTTCAAAACATTCGGCTGATTCACCAGCACAGGGCCGACTCAACAAATATGGGACAGCAGATGAGTGCAGCCTTTTGTAACAGTTTTGCCGTAGAGTTGGAATGCAGTTTCTTTTTATTGACTTGTGTGTTATATCTCTGATCAGCCCAACCTCAATATGCTGATACTGAAAACAAGAAAGGGAAAAATGATCATTACCTTATGTAATGAAGTGTGGGCCTCTTTGGTATGAGTCACACAGAAAATACATAAAAGTAAGGGTGTTGTGTCTAGATTATAGAATGTATCCCTATCCAGTTACAGATAAACAAGTTGTTGATAAAACTGAATTCACAGTAAAGGCATTACCTCATAAGGAGATTGCTACATGATATTATGGTGTCATGGTTACATGTTTATCCTAAAGTAATAACACTCAAATATTTATAGTTTAAAATTACAGTCCACATAATCAATTTAATTATATTGTTTATTTTTAAAGGGACAGCCCACAATTAAAAGTTATTGCACAACAGTTGGGTAATAGCTAATTTGGATCTGTTGTCCCTGGGCAGGTAGACAACACCCATGCATTTTTATTATCAGGAATGCACCCTTTAAAGTATAACTATAAGTACTATTAAATGTCTTACAATGTTTTTTGTGTCTTTCTCCAGGGACATCTGAAAGAGAACAAAGAAATGCAGAAAACATAAAAGGCCTGAAGAGGAAAAAGGTTGTTGCAGAGAATCGGCTGGAAAAAATTCCCAAATCACCAGTCAAGAAGCCCCTACAGTTGAAAACTTCTGAAGCTGTGCCCCACGGAGCACCGTCCAGGGAAAGTACAACTTCTCGTTGTTCCTCTTCCAACAGCCCTTCCCACAAACCTTCAACATCCCCCAGTGGGAAAGGAGAACGACAATATGCCCAACCAATTACAGCATCCCCAAGCGAGGGGTCATCATCAACCGGCAGTGAAAGGCTGAAGCCGGAGGAAACGTCTTCTAGACTGCCAGCACTTGATTCCACTGATGGTGGACAGAGCTCTTTGATTACTGCTACAGAATCTCAGCCTAAAGACAACAAGAGCCCCAGCTTAGAGGGAGATCCTTACCACAGCAGTGCTTCACTTGATGTTTTACTTAAGGCCATGGAGCCTGACTTTAGTACACTGGCTGAGAGGAAACACTCCTTGCATGCCACTGGAAAACCAGCCTCCAACTTTAAAGCTCAACATAGTGGAGAATTAACAACAATGCCAGCTGTTAACGTTGGTCTCCGGACCCAACCTCCTCATATGCAGACTTATTATATTGACAAACAAGGCAACTTCATTGGCATTTCAGCACCACTACAAGGAAATGTGCAGACATCTACACAGGGTACCCCCATGCAGTCGTCTCAGCTTGCCACACCGCACTTTATGCCTGTTGCATCAAATCCTGAAAAACCTAGCTTGCACATGAGCTTTAATACTGGACCATCCACCATAACTCATGCGCCTGTTCCTTCGGGCTCCAATGCTTTGCCACAAAGCCAACCACCAGTTGTGCAGACATGCCAGTCCCTTTCAGCAAGTGTTCCAAGCACCATTCAGGTGCCAGTAACACCTGGCAGCAACCAAGTTCAGATGACCACTGTAATGAACTTTGGTGCTGAACAGGTTTACAAAGACCAAAAGCCTAAGAAGCCAGGAAAGTATGTTTGTGAATACTGCAGCCGGCCATGTGCAAAACCCAGTGTGCTGCTCAAACACATAAGGTCACACACAGGAGAGAGACCGTACCCCTGTGTTACTTGTGGCTTTTCTTTCAAAACCAAGAGCAACTTGTACAAGCACAAGAAATCACATGCTCATGCTATAAAGCTGGGTCTCATTGCGCGATCTGAATCTGGAGGTGGGTCACTATCTCAAGAATCCGACAAAGCACTTGGTACACATTCAGAGGCGGAGGAGAGTGGGGACAGTGATGAGGAAAGTAGCACCGCAGATTTGGACCCTGACTCATCACAGAGCAGTGTTGCAGCTTTGTCTGAAAATAGTTTGCAAAGTGCAGGTTCAGCTCAAGCAAGCCACAGAGAGGCTGACTCATCGGCTGTATTTGAGTCAAACAAACTTGCCCCCGGTCAGAAGGCTCATGAGCCCAAAGTGACAGCTGCACTACCAAAAGTTGTTGTATACCCAGTTAATGTCTCCCCTATGAGGGCAGATAGTCCAAGAGTTACAGGTGCAGCACCTGAGCAAGCTGCTGCACAACGTCAAAGAGAGTTCCAGACTGCTAACCTGAGATCAAGCATCACAGTATTGTCATCTCTGAAAGAAGTGGATGGTACGAACACCTCCCTAGATACTGTCAGTGAAGATGAAGACCTACAATGCAAGTCTCCAATGTTAGGTGGTCATGCTCAGCTTCAGAGGCAACAAGCTACAGACTTTTCTCAACAGCAACAGATGAAGTGTCTTCTTAGTCCCCGCAGTTTGGGAAGTACGGATTCTGGGTACTTCTCGCGTTCTGAAAGCGCTGACCAAGCAATGAGTCCACCCAGTCCATTTGTTAAGATAACACCCCCAGTAGATATTGACATTGCCAAGAATAGTCTTACCAATGTTGCTCCTGTGGTTAGCACAGTTATGCATGTGGTAGCTGAGCAAAAGTCAAGGGCCACAGAGGGACAGATGCGTCCACCATTAGAAGTCAAAGCACTCTCTCTGGAAGAACGAATTTCAAAGTTGATATCTGACAATGAGGCAGTGGTTGACAATAAGCAGCTGGACAGTGTAAAGCCAAGGAGGACTTCTCTCTCAAGGAGAGGTAGCATAGACTCCCCTAAATCCTACATATTTAAAGACTCTTTTCAGTTTGATCTTAAACCAATTGGGAGGAGGTCAAGTTCCAGCTCAGACATTCCTAAGTCCCCATTCACTCCCACTGATAAATCAAAGCCAGTATTTCTTCTCTCTGTACCTTCCCAATACCCACCAATGGATTGTTTGCCAATAACAAGAAGTAACTCAATGCCTACTACACCAGGACACTCTAATCTTCCCATTAATGTTCCCCCCCTTCCCCACCCTTTGCGAATTTGTCAGTCATTTGACGAAAAAATTAGTTCATTGAATGATGATGTATTTTCATCAGCCCCATCAACCCCAAATCCAGCAATACATTCTCGTACCTTGGTCAGACAGGCAGCAGTGGAGGACTCTTCCACAAGTGAGGGGCATGGCCTTCATACTGTCCGCTCCATGGACGAGGGCTACCATGGCCAAAGTAGTTCCACAGAACTAATGCAAAGAAGTAGATCTTTTGAGCACAGTCAGGACAGAAACAAAAAGCCTCAACAGAATAAAGGTACAATGTATGAATGTGAAACTTGTCGTAACAGGTACAGAAAGTTGGAGAATTTTGAAACGCACAAGAAATTCTATTGCTCTGAGCTTCATGGTCCAAAAAACAAGCCAGTCAGTGTAAAAGAAACTGACCAAGATGTTTTTCATGTAAACATGCAGCCCATAGTCTCAAGATCATCAAGTGGCCCGGGGATACTTGATCAACAGACATCAATTAGAAAGAGAAGGAAAATGAAAAGTGTTGGAGATGAGGATGATCAATCTCCTACTGATACCATTCCACCCTGTTCCGTAAGTTTTGAGCTACCATCTGTTCTTGCAAGTCAGACTTTTTCTCAGCATAATGTTATTGTGGACATACAGCCTAAAAACAGCCAAACAAAGCTACCTCAGATTCAACTTGTAGCAAGAGGTCTTAATACTTCAGAATCCAGATTGTCACCAATACGAGAAACCCAGATATGCACCTCTACCAAGGGAGAACTTCAAAGGCAAGGCAGTGGTACTTCAGTTATTAGACACACCAATTCTCTCAGCAGACCAAATTCATTTGAGACAGATTCGATTGACAGGGCCTCTCCTGTTGATGGCATGGAGAAGGATCCCCTAAACAAGCTCAAGACAGATGCAAAAGCAAATGTTACAGTGGACAGTTATCATGAAAAAATAGCCAAACCCAAGAGTGTTGACTATGAAAAACAACTAAAGGAACAGTGCTGTGATGGCTCAGTAGGAGATGTTGATGAAAACTCAACTCCTGTCCATCATTCTCGTCTCGTTCGTCAAAACAACATTCAGGTCCCTGAGATTCTAGTCACCGAGGAACCAGATAGAGAGCATGAAACACATACTATTGAGCAAGCAGATAAGCCTACAGATCAGTTCAGCTGGCCTCAGAGAAGTGAGAGCTTGTCAAAGGTACCAGCGGAGAAACTTCCACCGAAAAAGAAAAGAATTCGTCTGGCTCAAATGGACCAATCCTCAGGTGAATCTAGTTTTGAGTCCAGCTTATCAAGGAGCCTGAGCAGGGACAGTAGTCTTTCTCGTTGTTCCAGTGTCTCGGCCTCTTTTGACAGAGAGGAGACGTCTAGGTCAGAGAGTCCTTCCAGAGGAGAGTGTTTTAGCAAAGTTCAGGAGCCTCAAGGTTTGCCTACAGTCTTCAATACCCTTGGTGTGCCTGGAATTATGAGGCGGGCTGCATCTGAACAAATCACTTGTACTCAACCATCTGTTGAGATTTCATGTGACTACCGTAGCAAGTCCTTTGACTGTGGCAATGTGTCCCCCAGCAGATCTCTGTCACCTGTTGGCCAACACAAAAGTGGACAAATCTTACACGCTCCCCAGGTGCCACTTATTGAAAGGAGGCGAGGGCCTTTAGTCCGTCAAATGTCTTTAAAGATAGGCCCAGAAAGTCAGCAACCTGTCCGGAAGGTTGTCATACCTATAGATAAACCTGCCACTTCAAATGTTAGCTCTTTAACTCAGAATAGAGGCCATCAGATTCACATTGCCAATAGGCAGACCATGGCTCAGCCATTTATTCTGCGTACTGGGGAGCTGCCTTTGCAAAACAACGAGCAAATTGTGCAGAGCATTCATTTGGGTAGTCTAACTCAGCAACCTCAAGTCCATGGCCTTCCGCACCCTTGGCATCAAACTTCAAGGGTTCAAATATGCCAAAAGTTACAACAACCACAGAGTCAGATCTTAGTTTGTCGCCAGAATATACAAAACAAACCAGCTGACTCTGAAGAAAAGAAAAGTTTTGTGCCCAAATACCAACTAACATCTCCTGCTCTGAGAGCAAGCCAAACATTTTCATTTGCCAACACTCAGGCAACTCAGATTGCCCTACCAGTTTTGACAATACCTATTGCCAATCCAGTTTTGAGCATTTCAAAGTCTTCAGATGTACGCACAAATGTTTATGTTGCTCAACCAAATCAACAGGCCTCTGAGATTAAGACACAGACCGTTGTTCTGTCAGGAGAACAGCAAAAGGACCTATTTGATCAGACCCAAGCAGGCGCTATACCATTGCCTCAGATCCTCATAACTCATGAGCAGATGCACCCTGCTCTTTCTGTGTCAAATAAAAATAGCCTTCTATCCAGTCACAGCGTAGATAGTGACACTCAAACGCTACCTACTGTAAAGGATAGGACTCCAACAGTTAGCACTCATATGCATTCAGGAGAACGAGCACCTTCCCTTGGGTCTTTACATTGCACTCAGAAACTGGCATCAGTAACTCTATGCCCACAGCACGAACCCACCGCCTCAAGTAAACGAATGCTGTCACCTGCAAACAGCCTGGACATCTACATGGAAAAACACCAGAAGCGGGCTAAGGATGAGCATGGTGTGGCCTGTTTAACTGATGGAAGGTCAGTCAGCTATCTTAACAGCAAGATGTCAGAGGTTACAAGACAAAGGAAGCTAACACTGGTGAGGCAGGTTTGCACAACCGAGCCAGTGGACAGTCCCATTGAAACTGAGGCCCCACCTCTGCCACAGGTTAAAACAGATGGAGAGAAACAGTCAGAGGCAACTGATGAAGTTAAGCCAATGTCACCAGACAGTACTGGGCTGGAAAAACACACAAGCACTGTTATTCATGAGGAAGAAGGACCTACCCAAAAATCTACAACATGTAGCCAGGTCAACTCCATGCCAGTTAGTAATTCTCTGAAGCCCCAAGAAAAAGTTGATGAACAGAGATGGTCTCCGGCCAAATCTCCCATTAGGCCCTCCAGTTTCCATGGTGGACAAATGAAACTGACCACATCTGTATCTGTGGTTAACACAAAGGACAGTCATCGCCTTTCTTTCCCCAGCCTGAAAACTGCCACCACATTTACCTGGTGTTTCCTAATGAAGAGGAAACCTCTTCATGTTCCACAGACTGACCTGAAGACTTCAGCCTACGCTGTCTGGTCAGTCAGTCCCAACAACCCCAACCCACTTGGCTTGCCCACTAAAGTGGTCATGTCTCTTTTTGACTCCAAGCAGAGCTCCAAGAAAATGCACTACACCTCAGCTATAAGAACGAGCAAGAAATCTGATATCCTGTCTTACTCAGGCAAGCTGAAAGATGTCATGCCAAAGGTAAGCACTAAGGTTACATTTTGAATTACTCTCATGTTGCAGCATTGTTCGTGAGTCAAATCAGACAAGTCATCTCTTTTAAATTCATTCATCACTTCTTCCAGCAGGTGCCAATAACCCAGAAGCCGAATTCAGCTGAAACCAGGAATAAAGTGACACCTGAACCTCAGGCAAGCAATGAGTCGGACAAGGACGTGGCATCTAAAACGGAACCAAGACGAGTCAAAATATTTGATGGCGGGTAAGATTAAAAAACGAAAAAGTTAATGTGTTTTGACTTTTTTGTTAAGTTTTACTATTGCCCTATGTGTCTCTCATGGCTGTTTTCCAATCCTACAGATATAAATCTAATGAGGAGTATATTTATGTACGTGGACGTGGACGTGGGAAATACATCTGTGAGGAATGTGGGATCCGCTGCAAGAAGCCCAGCATGCTGCGCAAACATATCCGCACCCACTCCGACGTCCGGCCATACCACTGTGTCCACTGCAACTTCTCCTTCAAGACAAAAGGTTAGCGCTCAGTAAATTGTCCCTGTTGAGAGCTCAAATCTACTCCTTTACTCGTCTACTAGGGATATAACAACATCAAAATGTCACTATATGATATTATCACAATCACAATTCCATGGTACGCTATTTTTCACGATATTCAAAAAAGAAAAAAAGACAAGTGAAGACACCTTATCCTTTTCTATTTCTTCACACGGGGGAAACCAAAATGCTTTCACATGTTAGATTTCAAAGCTGCTGGAGCATCCATATTTTTAAAATCATCTCTCTGTACTCCCTCACAAATAATGCCGGTGTACAGCGCAGAGGATGTTGGTGTGCATAGGAGGATGGTCTTTGTAGTTCCAAATTCAAAATTCCGTCCGCTCTGCTCCACTGCAGCAAACACAAAACTACACTTCTTATCTTTCGATATCGTGAAATTGACGATACCGTTACATCCTTATTTTCTACACTTTCCCTATCAACTAGGAACTTGATTTTTTTTGTCCTTTAATGCAGTCTAGAGATGTTTGAGTCATCTGTGTGCTCTCCCAAAATAAAAGAGGTGCACTGTATGTGGTAGTAAAAGACTAGAAACACTATATTCTCACATACTTTACACCATGAAAAAACACCACAACTTAAGAGGTACTATCTTACATTAGCAGTGCATTACTGCAGCTGAACACAAATTAAATTCCTAGTGGCTTAGAGCTACTGCAGTTGACGTCTTCTTTCCTTAGGAGCTATAACATTAAATATGTTTGTTTTTTTACAATCTCTTCAACTAAGACAGTATGATTCACCATTCTTTATCAAACTCGCCTACCCACACCACACTGCAGAAAAGTACTTTGTGTCAGAGCAACCCACGTTCATTTAAAAATGTCTTTGTCAGTTACTCACCCTTTACGTACAGCTCGCCCAGAGACCGCATTCTCTTACATAAACTCCGTCTGCGCTATTGTTTAAGCTCTACCCACCCGTAAGACCGTTCTGCCTTTCCTTTTTTGCAGGGAATCTGACCAAGCACATGAAATCCAAGGCCCACAGTAAGAAATGCATGGAGATGGGGGTTCCCGAGGGTCTCATCGAGGATCAGGATGCAGAGGACTCAGGTACTGTGCTTCACTGAGCAGCCTTAATATGGTAGATAAAGTGGAAAATAAAAGTCTGTTTTTCAAAGCCTTCACATCTCAAGCTACGTGAACCATTTCTCTTTAAATCCAGGGGTTTATTTAAAGTATATTGTTATGGATGCAATAGTGACTTAACAAACACAGATCTTTTTATTTGTTTTTTTATTTCAAATAAGGCTGCAAATCTTTAAATAGTTCTGTTTATGGCCTGAGATGTAAAACACTGATTGGTCCTCTGTTGCTATGTCGATCAATAGCTTTGCTACGGTCTAATTAGAAATTCTAAATGCAGCTTCTTCCTCTGTTAACTTGAATCTGAGTGGGAGGCATGCACAGCGTTTAGAAAGAGGAAATTGCTGCATCTAATTTTAGAAAAAAAAAAAGAAAGAAAGCAAGAGAGAAGCTGCCTGAAAGCATTCTATGGTCCCAGTCTCTAAGAGCATATTTGTTTTTCCACCTCTGTCTTGTGACGGAGCTCAGGGGCGTATGGTTATGTAGGGTGTTAAACTGCTGCAGCAGCGAAGTACGTCACTGAATCGCATTCTTTGCCGATGGATTCTCTCTCTGTGTTGATGAGAGAGGAGATTTAATGAATGAATGTTCAGTACTCCTAAAGGGACGATCTATTTTCATACCAGCGCTGATGACTCACATATTCTGGGGGTTACCAGGAATAGACTTCCTGCTTACATTTTCTCTCATCAACAGGAGACCCTAGTCAGGTGAGCAGTGCTGACCGTCAAGATTCAGACGGGGATGACTCCGACGGCCCTGATGATGAGGATGACAACGAGGAGGAAGAGGAGGACAGCCAGGCAGAGTCCGGCCTCTCCACCAACCCCTCGGTCTCTGCCAGCCCGCAGCATATCCCCTGCAAAGAGGCTGAAGTCCCTCCTAGCGCCCTCCTAGCCCAGATGTCGATAAGCTCCGTCTCCCTATCTCTCTCCCAGCCCCGAGCTCCTGAATCCCACACACAAGACTCAGACTCTGTCCCCATGATGAGCCCCGTGTCCCTGAGCAAGCAGATATGCATCTCGGGCTCTTTCCACAGCCACTCACCCTTCCCTTACTCTCCTCCACCCGTCGCCGCCACATCCGACACCTACACCTCAGACACAGAGTCAGTGCACATGATGAGCCCGGTGTCGCCGTGCAGGCAGATGTCCATCGACTACCCTGACTTTGAGGTCCCCCCTAGTCCCCCCGTGCCAGGCAAGGGCTCCAAGCTAGGCCAGGTGAGACCCTTGTATTCTCGTTGTGTTGCTTTTGACCCCTCCCTGCCGGCCTCCCTTCTTTCCTATCCATACCCATACTTAGAATCCTGCATGCGAGGCACATCGACAAAGCTCCTGTGAATGCTTCGCCGAAAAGGTGACTGCGTCTTGTTAGTTCTGATTATGCTTGGTGGATGGATCCAAAACCATTTCACCTTAAACTCTCTAAATATGCAAGGCTTATTCTTCATTTCAGTCAAGAAATGATACTGACTGGTCATTTGTTTTTTTTTTGACAGGATATCTCCTCTGCCCCTCCTCCTGCTGTGGCCACCAGTGAACCAGGTGTTCCAGTGGACCGGGGGACTCAGACCTCCTTCTATGCTTCACAAGGTCTCATGAACTTTCCTCCACAGGGTCTCTCCCACACACCTGGAGCACAGACCCAAACCCACCTGTTCAGTCACCTGCCCTTGCACTCCCAGCAGCCTTCTCGCCCCTCTTACAGCATGGTCCCAGTAGGGGGGATCCAGCTGGTGCCTGCTGGCCTGGCAGCCTATTCCACCTTCTTACCAATACAGGCCGGTCCCGTCCAACTCACCATTCCAGCGGTGAGCGTCATTCACAGGAACACGAGCCCCTTACCAGCTCCCAACACTCCTCCCCTACCAGACGGCGTGCACACCCAGCCCCTTGTGATGCAAGAGCCTCTCAGTAGTGTTCTGCCCTGCTTCCCTTAGGGCAGGTCACCGGTCTGCAGTCGCAAACATTACAACCATTAGGTCTGGAGACACTTAACCTCATGGGGCTTACCAACACAGGCCTGGCATCCACACAGCTGCTCTCCCCGCAAGGGCTCACCCTAAACGCCACCCTCGGTCTTCAGGTTTTGGCTGCCAATCCCACTTCCCAAAGCAGCACTGGACCCCAGACGCATGGTCTGCAGATACTTAACTTTGCTCTGCCCGCCATCATTCCTTCTCTCAGCCCTCTCTCCACCTTGAGTCCTCTACCGGGGCCCTCGGAGAGGCAGGGAAGCCCTGAAGCTGCAGGACCACAGCCATCTCAAAGCGAACAAGGTCTTGGTTCTTTACAGAGCTGCACGCCTGGCTCATCACCTGCCCATTCAAAGGTGAGCAGCTCACCAGAACCAATCTCAGGCAGCAGGGCGAGCGCTGGAGGTAACAGTGGAGAGCTCACACAGACTATCAAGAGAGGAGAAAAGGATGAATCCTCTCAGAAACATCCACCATTAGCTGCTGAGAGCCAAGAATACCCGGCTCAAAAGTCACCGGCTGAAGCAGCTAGTGATCATGCACATCCAAGAACTCGGTTAGTGAACAGCTGGCAGAGCGTAAATGAGGACTATAATGAGGTGTCCAGTGATGATGAAGACAGACTGGTCATTGCCACCTGAAAACACCACAAGTGGAACGTTTTTTCTTGCTCTCTTTTTGTAACTCTTGTCACTTTGTAAGACTGAAAACACTTTTCAGGGGATTTGTTTCTTTGCAAATCACCTTTCAAAGCACAGATGCTGACATTCATATTGTATGTGCAATCATATGACAAATATAATGATGACCAATCATTAATTTTTACTTTTATTGTCGGCTCCAGACATTTATCTTTTTTTTTTGTACATGTTGTATAGACAATTGTGCCTTTATGGAGTTTCTTGTTTTGGAACCTGTACATAATTCCTTACAAATTCAGTAGTTGCTTGTGTTTATTTCAAAAATATGGAAGTCAAAGAGGCATACAAATTGAGGATATCAATTTTATTTTGGATTTGTCATTCGTAAATATATGGAAATATAAATGTTGTACTGGTATATGTACATTTCTATGGATAAAGGGGCAATGTTTCTGTGTACAGATGTTGTGTTCAAATATTTATTATAATCCATCTAGTGCCCATTCTGATTCATTAGTCCATAGGTATGTGCGTTATGGTAGCTTTACATTGCTGTATCAATATTCTTAACTGTATCAGTAAAACATTTGTTTACAAACATTAAAATGGTGTCGCTGTTTGTTTTTGTATCAGTAATTCACTAGAAATCTTCACTTCATGTTTTAAGGGGGACTCTGGAGTGGACATTGATTGCAGATGATAATCATTCATATTTCATAAATTTGAAAGTCGGAGAAGTTGAACAATTCTAAGCTATATTTTCTGATAAATACACAAACTTTACTCAAAGAAAAAATGAGTCCCTGGACACTGTATGGAGCTAAAAAGCTACCAGGAGAGTTACAGTGTCTCTGTTGTGCACCCCCCACCATAACTTTCGCATAGCATTTTATCTTCAAACAGTGTTACAGGGACCACATTTCCCTCTGAGAACAGTTTGTGTGTAGAGTAATGAACATATAACACAGAATCTGCACACTTCTCCAACTTTCAAATTTCTACATAGTGCACCTTTAAAGATGTTGATTCTTTTGTTATATTGAGTCATTCAGTACAAACTGATGGAAGGTACTGTATGTGAGTGCAAACACAAGACTGTGGGGTGCATTTGATTTACTTCGTAGTAATTAACTTGTTTTGGTGCAACATCTTACACCAGGGGTAGCATATTATTTCACATCATAACAGAAACATAGTTGGTAACGATTCTGAGATTTGCTCTTTTTTCAGTTTTTAACAAATCTGTTTTAAGTCTGTCTGAGTACTGTTTGGTTTTCTTGCTCTTCTATGATAACCGTATCTTTGGTGTTGGTTGGATAAATCAAAAATATCAAAGAACACGCACAACCAAAAACTAGTAATACCAAAAACTAAAGTACTGGGTGCTGAACAGAAAAACATCCAAAAGTAGAAAGAATAGTCCGCACACCAGATCTCTGCTCCAATTAAATTACATTTCATTTAATGGAAAAATGACCACCTGTAACATTTGGGGTGGTGTGCACAACTATTCTTTCTACTTTTGGATAAATCAAGACATTTAAAAGCATCACCATGTTGTTAACTGTCATGAGAAGTTTATATGTCAAATGATTTTCTTAAGATTTCCCAATAAAGCAATTAAGAATTTGAAAAATAATTTGCAGATTAATCAAATTGAAAAAAGCTGCTTTTCCAATAATTGCACACAAGTATTAAAACAAGTATACAGTATGAAAGTACATATGTATGAAAGTATAATGTTATCTAGTATGACTAATCAATTAGAGCTCGGAGAAAAAGGGATAGAACTCTACCAATATTTTTGGTGACTATAGTGGATTTTTTACATCACAAGTTAAACGCCTGCAAACCAGACTTTACTGATGGTCAACATGTGATCCTCTGGAGCCTCTCTGACAGTCTGATTCAAAAGAACAGTCGTGATTGTATTGGTAAGCCTCATCAGGGCTGTTCCACTCTCGTCTTTCTGTGTTGCTCATCAGAGGGAGGAATTGATGAAAAAAAAGCAAGAATTTGATGTTTCAAACGGCAAACCAACCCAGCATACCACGTCTTCTAAACGATGACAGCAACAAAACAACCTCTTGATACTCTCATCATCACAGTGACACATCAATCAGAATCAGTAGTTTCTAATCCAACAAAGGGCGCATGATGAATAAAATATTGTGTGTTCCTTATTATACCTTCAATCCAAGAGTCGTATTAATAATACGCTCTCAAAGGAGCAGGTCTAAATAAAGAAATCCAGCACCAATAAGGGAAACTTCTGTCTTATCTCAAGAGGCTTTACAGCGATAACGTCGTGTTCCACCTCATTCAGAGGGGTGACTCATCCATCTACAGTACAGACCCCCATCATCTCTCCCCTCCTCTCACAGGGGTGGATGTTTAGCAAAGCAAACAGTGACCCCTAGAGGACATTATGTGCAAATGCTAAGACAATTCAAAGGCTGAAGAAGTTAAGACCTCATAGGATTCAATAACTCAAACATGGTCAGATTTTCTTTTTTAACCCATTATTATGAAATATCACAACAGCTTTATGGTTCAACTATGTAAACTTGAGTGTACACATTTAAATGTTCCACTAATGCCTCTCTCTTCTAAGTTATTTTTGTTCTTAAAGGAAAAAAAGGCTAAAAGGCCATTAGTGCAAACTGTTCCACTAGTGAGTGGAAACTCTAACTCCAGCTCTGATTGGGGGCCTCAGAGCCACAGCAGGTCAGGATACTTTACTCCAGACTTTTCCATGTTGAGCATGTGTGCACACATACGCACACACATCAACAAAGTTCATGTTCCACTGTGCCCACAGCGTAACAGAATAAGTGATTTAGGTAAAGCACCCCTCAGCCTACAAGGTTAATTACAAACGAAGGTAAAGGAAACATATGATTAACAGGCTGTTTGACCTTTCAGCAATCGTTCATAAATTCATAAAACGTGGAGCTTGTTGTGTTGTTTAATGGTATGTCATTTATGGAAAACAAAATGGGTATCACACTATGTACATTGTCTTTGTATGTAAAAAGCATATTAATTGCTAAGTAAGATAATATACTATTTTATGAAACTAAAATGAAGAATTCCAGGATTGAAAAAGCTTCTGTTTTCATTTCTTTAAAAGTCGTTGTAACGGATGATAAAAGTATTTATGACCATATTTTTGAGTGTTGTGTCATATGATGTCTTACTTTAACATCCCACATCGTAGGAGGCCTACATGAAGAACGAGGTCGAGACCTGCAGGATGTTTCATTCATTACAGAGGGGTGATTCAATACAATAGAATCAGGGTAACAGGTTACCTCATAGACTATAAATACTGATTTAGATACATGAAGCACTAAGTTATATTCATGAAACACTTACTAAAGCCACTTTGTTGTTTTTAATGAAAGTTGTTTTTATCTCTGATGGAATTGTATTATAATTAAGACATTATTGTTGTTTTTGTTATTTCACAAAACCAAGTGGACTACGGATTTTTACATCCAGTGTCTATTGTAAGTTTTTAACTCAATAATTATATTCTGAGGGACAGAGTGGGATGCTTTATTTAGAAAAGAGTGGGATGTTTTATTTTGAAAAGTTTTTTCCCCAAACGTAGATGCTTAATCCAGATCATGGTGAGGGCTAAATCCTCTCCTACCATACAGGCAGAATCATAGTTAGCAAAAAATGTATGTAAAAAGTTGCCCTATCAAGATCATGGAGGTCAAACATAAAGGCATATTTTACAAGATAGCTGCTTAGAAATAATAAGAAGAATAAGAAGTACTTTGATTGGTGTAGATTTGTATTTCACTTCTGCTTTAGTAATATTTCTGTCAATCTTAAAAACTTCATATCTGTATTCTGCTTTATCCTTACATTCTGTATGCAATATTCACCATTAAACGGGGAAATGAATCCTGTAGCTTGACTGCCACCTGCCGTCTTAAAGTTGCAACTGCAGCCAGCTCATCCACCAGAGTCCAACAGGAGTATGGCACAGGTCGCATTAATCACCCCCCCCCCCCCCATCTCAAACCCAAGGCATCTCAAAGTCTTCACGGCGCCGTATCAGAGAGCAAATACTAACAAACAACACAGTCTGGATACGAGCCAAAAGGACAAGACTGTATCTACTGCACAGGAGGAGGAGGAGGAGGAGGAGGAGGAGGAGAGAGAAGCTCTCTGGTATAAAGTCAAAGAGCTGCACATGTGGGGCCACAGTGACAGAGAGACTCCAGAGTGACTCCTCCACGCTCCTGCGTAAATCTCAAGAGGATAATCAGCGAAACACTTTGCGAGGGAGTGATACACTGGATGCTTCTTTTTTTCACTTCTGCAGGATTATACGGTTTTTTTTAGCACTATTCTGAGTAAGAAGAGTCTGGAAAATGGATATATACGTTTTGATTTCTGTGTTGTCGGTGATGTACTCCTGGATTGTGTGCACAGGTAATTGCGTTTCTGTTTTTTTTGTTTAAGAAGTCGCACTTGAATGACTTCTTTACGCACCTACACTTTATCTCATAAAATGTGTAACTTTCTCTGAAGTGTCGTTTAGCCAAACTTGCAGCACGATGTTTGCTTTGTGCATAGTCTTGTTTGATATGCAGTGTATTGATTAGAATGATTCCATCACAGTGATGTCAGCGCCTGCCGGAGATCTGATGCCCACTGCGCATCCCAACGCCACCCAGGTGCACCATGTGCGGAACAAACGCTGCTCCTGCGCCACTTTCCTGGACAGGGAGTGCTTCTACTTCTGCCACCTGGACATCATATGGGTCAACACACCTGAGTAAGTCACTACTAGCCTGACACCTTTTCTCTTTTTACAGCAGTGATGCAATTCTAGCATCCCGCAGTCATTGTTCAATACAAGACAAAAAAACAAGTCAATGCATTTCTAAAACAAATATCATTTTGAAACGCAAAAAAAATATGGAAGTTAATTTTTAATGAATGGGGTTGCTAACACTCTTAAAAGTGTAACTTTAAAGAAGTTTTCTCGGATAAATTTAAATTTAAAAGTGATACAAGCTTACTTACATATATTTAAACAAACCTTTTGAACGTTAAGTGCTCGGTTTCTTTTCGTTAATTTAAAGAGTTTGGATTTTAATGGTGTCTCTGTTTTCATTTTCAGGCGCGTGGTCTCTTACGGATTGGGCAACGTTCCCAGGAGAAGGCGCGCGGTCGCGGACTCCATGGCAACCGGCGGCGGAGCGCGCTGCAAGTGTGTGCGTGAAAACGACCCAACATGCAGAAACTTCTGCAGGCTGGATAAACACCCCAGGTGAGTGATTGTGATTTTAAACACAGCTTTAAAAAAAACAAAAAACATCTCGAGTACAAGCAATAACAACAATATGGATCATATGAGCTGTCAGGGATGCTGGGAATCGCCCGAGTCTATCTTTTATTTTCATTGTTTCCAATACGAGTGGGAACAAGTTTAGTCAATTTAAATGGCTCTGAATGTGTCGAAACTGCAGGCGTGAATAATTGAAATGTGAATCCACTCTCATCTGTGTGTTTTTCTGTGCGCCTCCGCTCACAGGTATGGGACATCGCCAGAAACTGTGATCCACTCCGCCGAGGGCGATGGTTGCTCTGAGACTCAGTGCAAACACAAGCTGGCAGCCGACACAGGCAGGATTAAGAGGTAAGACAATCCGTAGGAGGCTGAATTCCCTAAAGTCTATTTGCAAAACAAATGTACATGGCAATTACAACACACAGCTCTTTTGTGTAAAATATCTCAGGGTGGGTGCATAATATTTCCCAGAGTTCAGATGGGTGAGCCTGAGAGATAATAACAGTCAGCACGTGTTTTGAGTGGAAAGAATTTTCGAGATTTAACCCTCAAGCAAAGAATTCCCTGTAAATGATGATGCCTGATTCCTGAGCAGCATTATAAGTATATTTAAGCGTACGATAAGATTGTGTGGAATTTACCTTCAGTGAGCTGCGTTAACTTTCCACTACTTATCTGTGAGATTAATGACAGTGTAGAGCTCCTCTCTGCACACAGGTACGATCATGGTTATACTTAAAACCCTGACAATTTGAAACACAAACTTCTCCTCAAACATGTCACACCAGGGGTGTTCCGCATGACACTTGGCATACTTTTTGAGTATCAGTGACTGAAAGCTCAAAATCCACCCCAGATATTGCTTTACCTTTTACACAACTGGAAGATTAAAGGGTCAGATGTCTGATTGCTTCTCCGTCTTTGTTTTCAGGATGAGGAACAGCAACAAGAAACGGGTGTCGCCTCTAGCCGTCAGGGCCGCCTTGAGAACCCGCCTGCTGCTGGAGAAGTGGAGGGTGAGACAGCGCCACAGGAGCACGGCCTCCTAAAGAAGACAGCAACAGCAACAAAAACTCCACACCTTGTCAAATAGAGAGGGAGAAAGAGTTTTATAACTGTGGATCTTTTCTCTAAAGGCCATCGGTGGAAGGCCATTAGAGCGCCCCAATGCGCCTGACAGGCGTACTCCATGTTGGCTTGGGGGAGGCGTCTGCAGAGAGCTGTTAGTCGCACTCAGAAGAACGAGGTCAGAGACCGTACAAGGAGTCTGGGTGAAAGGAGATAAGCTGAACAGAGGACTTGGCCCCTCGTCTGCAAAAATCAAGGACGGCGATCGATCCTTAAGGTGTCAGGGCCAGACTCTGTTACTCCATCGGACTCCACCAAAGAGCATTTCAAAGACTTTAAAGGAAGGATTCAATATAATGTTACAGATTATACAAAACCACTGCCATGTATGGGTGAAGGCAGTCCCCACTTGTTATATTTTATAAAGCCATAACTTTGGCGAGCTCACATAGAAGGGATCGTGTGACAGTTTTCCACTGGCTGAAATGATTTACTGGATTGTTACAGAGCAGGTCGTCTTCCTGTTCATCAGGTCATTGTAGCGTCGCACTGCAGTCGCTGCTGGGAGTTTTCTCCACTCGGATGTTATCACTCATAAATGATAATTTAATATTTCACTTAACATGTGTCATCTATATTGTCGCTACTATCTGATCTATTTATTTATTCTTTTTTTTTTTGTAATTTGATGTCCATATTGGTCTGTCACGTTTTGCTTGGTCATTTCTGTGAAATGTTTTGTCACCGAGGTGCCAACATTTGGCCCAATTATAATAAATGTATTACACTTATTTAAAAAAAAAAAAGACTGTTTCATCTCCTTCATCTTTGACGTGTCATCAATCTGTGCTGTATTCTCGTGTGAGTTTATTCGACTGAAAAAGGTTCTTATGTCTAATAAATAAGAAATAATCCATCCCAAGAACAGAGAAATGGACCGACCGAGGCATCTCAAATTCTCTGTGAACGTTAGGGCTGGATATTTCCCACAGCCACATGATACAATACATATCTTGATAAACATTGATTTTGGATAATGACCATGTCCTACACAGAATTCATGACAGCAGCTGATGAGAATAACAGCAGAGCACAGGCATATTAAGGATCCTACAACTTAACACACCTCAATTCAGATCCTCAGAGATCCCAGAAATACTTTCAAATATTTAAATCCCAGAGCTATGGTAACAGCGTTATTGTGAACTGCAGCTGTATCGATTCTGTAACATCTGCATCGATGCATGTATTTGCAGGGAGCACATGACGATCGATATTTTGAGCGCCGCCCTTAACGTTGAGTTTTTGTTTTTTTTACATCCCAGGTGTAACAAAATCAGTCTGGGTTCAGTGTGAGAGGCTTGTAAAGGAGCTGAAAGTGAAAGAGAAACATGATAAACAGAGAGTTGGAGACAGCCTCAGACGTGATAACGAGAAGGTGTTGATGTGGAAGACAACGAGGCAAAGAGCGATGAATACCTCGAGCGGCCCTGCCCTCTCATCTCGTGCCAAAAAAATACAACCAAGACACGGTTATTTCTGAGTGGATTTAAGGTTCCTCTCAGCAGCTCTGATCTCAAACACACAGATATCCAGCACAATGGGTTTTTTTTTTCTTCAGCTCTGTAATGATCACTTTGCTTTAAAACAGTTTGAGATATATCTACCACCTTCCAGCCTTTTCCAGACGAGTGACTCAACTGTCATTCAACAGAACCTGAGTCAATGTTAGGACTGTTTGTTGTTGTTGCAGATTTGGGTCATTATACTTACAGCCGGGGCTCCCTTCATTTAGCTTTACCTCTCCTCCTCCAGGAGTCATGCTCTCTGTCTGTCTCAGAACCCGACACCTTCCACAGATATTAAAGTTTCATCTTGGGCTCATAAATCAACTTTCATCTCATTTCAGTAAATCACTCATCAAGCTCATTTAGCAGCTGTCAGAAGTGAACAGTGTAATACCTATTAGCAAAATACCAACTGTGTAGAAGTAAACAAAAGGGCTTTTTGATGCAATCAAATCAGGTTTAAAATAAATTTAGATTCAACCGCAAAATTTTCTCACTAGACTAGTATGTTACTCTTCTGTTTTTGAGCTCATGTGTTAGTCCAAAGACATGCTCGTTAGGTCAACTGGTGACTCTAAATTGGCCCGTGAGTGTGGCTGGTTGTCTGTCTTATGATCGAGTGTTGAACAGTCCAGGGTGTACTCCAGCCCCCCACGATCCCGAACAGGAAAAAGCGGTGAAGAAAATGGATGGATGGATGGATTAATCCAATTTGAATTTCACTGTATGGCAAAACCTATTCTCCCAAAGCATCCCTCAGTAAGCCGTGTCCGGTGAGCATTGATCAGAGAAACAGAGGAGTTGTAAACTATCAGATGAATTTAGATCAAATCAAGTTATTTCTCTCATCACGATTGTGTTTTCTAACTATGCACAGCAGAGATGAAAGCAGAGTCAGTGTGCTGCATTAATCTGTCAGATTTGTCCTCACATTACACATGATCTCTGTCGTGCTTTGGATGAATGTCATACAAATTGTTTTTGGGCTGGGTTCAAACATTGGTGCGCCTGAAAACGCTCCCATCACTCATCACACTGGCAGCGGAGAACAATCCAATACAAATTGGTTGAAAAGTCTCGTCTATGCAGCCCATTTAGCAAACAAATCCACACAGGATTCTGAGCCCCGGGGGGGTTACTGAGAGAATCTGTTGTGTCTTCCTGCGTGCACAGTCCAATCATAACAATACTGATGTCATATTTTCCAGACAGATCTTATTTTTTGTTTGCAAAATGATTTTAAAGACTTGTCTGCAGCAGGGGGACCATCATGACGCGGACAATTTGAGGACAATGGAGGGAAAGCTTCGATGACACGCAAGAAATGCATTCAGCTGGATTTAATCAAACGATGCAGGTACAGAGCGAGCTGGACCGCGTGCCAAACAAAGCTCCGGCTATTAGAAGAAGATCTGCTGATACGGTGCTCTCATGGGGTTTAAGAGGAAATGTTATCAAGAGCACGAGAAACCAGTAAAATGTTCGATACAGCGAGTTACATAACTCGTGAAACTTAATAATATTAACGGTGCTTTCCCGTTAAAAGTGGCTCCATTACAACATTTTGTTACATATCTATCTCTTTCAGGTTTATTATCATGATGCATGATGCAACAGGAATGCATGACAGGTTTAAGATCAGTAATCAGCGGTGGAAGAAGAATTCAGATTCAGATTTGATAAAGCCAAAGTAAAAATAATCCTGCATCCAGTTTTTTACTCAAAAATGTCCCATACTAAAATAAATGTACTTATACAAATGGCCTTCGTTGTTGTTTTTTATGGTAATAATACGGTATTTATTTTAAAGATTTCACTTGTTGGTAGCATTTTAAAGCTGTTGGAGAAGTTTAATTGTAAAAAAGCAGATCTGAAATCTCATTTGTAAAGTTTTCAAATGACTCAAGTTAAGTAGAAAGTGCGGCAGTATAAGGTGGGATAACGGACAGTATCATTGTAAATCTCTTCCATTGAAAGTCACTCTGGTTCTGTAACACGGTGACTGCACAGCTTGTTATCAGATCACCTTTATCAAAATGACCGCTCCGTGTCGGCTTCTGTGACTCGGCTATTTCAGGCTTATCTGCAACAACAATCACTTGCCCTCTATACGTCATGAGGCAGCCGCGGCTTCATTGAGCTGTCAGTCCTGCAGGAGCTTTTTCTAAGAGAAGAAGCCTCCCTGTACCTGCTCACTGAGGAGGTTAGCAGCATGCAGACGGACCTGGGAGCCGACACAATGGCACTTACCCTCCAAACTATGCAGCTCTACGAGCGGGAACTCCCCTGAGACATTAGCTTCTGGCATAACTCATTAGTCTATTGAATAGAGCCAGCGCTAACATAATACCCCATTACACAGCAAGGCATCTCCTCAGCTCCACAGGAATTCTCAAGCTCGGGAGCCGCACAATAGGACTGTATGCGAGGAACGTCCGGGCGGGGCACTACTGGCCTCGACTTCTGACGTCCGACCGAACTCGACACTGCCTCCACGCCCTGTTTTCTAACTAACACTCCCAGCGGTGCCAAAGCATCTCACGAAACCCTGCTACAATGCAACCAGAGGGGATTTAAACCCTGGGCCTGGCTGAGTCAAAGTTAAAGATTTGGTAGAAAAAAGGTCACCAGGAGTCACGGGGATGACTAAACACCACAAGAGAGCCCTCAGGATTTGTTGCACTTTTAGTGTTTTCGAGAAAGTCAGACGGGCGACTTCTCCTCTGTGGTTTGTTTTTGATTCGTCATCACGTCTGCGCTCGCACAGATGACACACTTTTCCAGAGAACCTATTATGGGATTCTGTGCAGGTATCTCTCAGCACTCTGTCTGCCACTAATCCCAACTCGCAGCCTGACCCAACCCAGCGGCTGCCTCCGATAAATACTGGGAGCATTACAGTTCTATCCCTGAGATATTTAGAGAATGCTTCAATGACAGACGTGAAAGTGAGGACGAGTGCCGTCTGCGGCCGCGTTCCTGCTTTTCCCCTGGCTACATTTCACATTAATGAAGTTGGAAATCAAAAAGAGTGGGGGGCCCTGTCATCCATGCTCGTACGCACATCTGGAGGGAATGTTCAGAATGCAAGGAATTGTACACAAAGTTTCAGGAACGCATCGCAGCTTTGAACCCTGTTGTCCAAAACCAGCTCATGGATGATGAAAAAATATGCAACTTATATAACAACTATAAACACTTGATGCATATGATGAATAATTCATGCATTATTCAGCACTTGAAGTCATTATTTGCATTTGTGTTGACACCGTTCACAGGTGCTAGTTTGAAAGCCTTCCAGATGGAAACATTCATCAATGTGTGATGGAAAGAGCCTGAGGGCGAGATATCTAGAAAGTACAGTTTAACTCCAGTGAAAGCTTTGAAACAACATCATTACCTTTAAAGACACATACTTTCTGTCATCTTTAAATCACTCTAGCAGCATAGCTCCAGGAATGATAAAGTGGTCCTGACACAGCTCTACAGCTACTGGGCGGATTAGAGGTTGACGTTTTGGGTTCAGAACATATTAAGTAGACAAACATGGACATGGATTTTCATTAGATTTTAAAGATCCCCACAGTATGAATCCTGAAGACTTTTGTGACCTTCTGACTTCTACCCTTGCCACCCTAAGGGTCTGTGACCACCTAAGGGCTAAGTGTTGTCAGCGCTCAGCCTCCTGAGTGCAAAAAAATGCCCTTTAACAGTTTAACTTTTGGACCAGCGCCGCACTATTCAATGCCATTAATGGACACAGGTCCAAATTAACTCATTTACAATCGATCCATCCCTTTTCCTCAGCTTATCAGCGGTCACGGTGCAGTGGCAGCAGGCTAAGCTAGTTGATCTAGATGTCCTTCTCCCCAGCAACACTTTCAAGCTCCCTCCAACAAGCTCTGGGTCTTCTGGGATCTCCTTCCAGCAACGTAAGCTTCCAAAGGAGACGCCCAGGAGGCAAATTAATCAGATGCCCAAACCACCTCAACTGGCTCCTCGCAATGCAAAGTGTTAGTCGCTCCCACCAGATGTATTTACTTTTATAAGTGAAATACTTCAATAAATACTTTGGGACAAAATCTGCTGGCATTAAATGTTTTGCAGGATATATTTTAAATGTTTTGTTGATCCAACATTTATTGGGTGGAGAGCTGCTGAATTTGGTACATTTATCAGGATCACCTCAGGAGGAATTGTACCAAATTTCATCCAATGACTTTTCATTTAAAGTCTTCTTAGCACAAAAATA